TGCTTCTTCTCTGTTCACCCTGCAAAGTTCTTTTGATCTTCACGGATGAAGATGCTTTGGCCAGCTGAGGAGTCCCCTAGCCTTCCGCTTTGCTCTCCCAAGCTCTTCTGCTGCTTTTCAGGAAGGTCAGATTCAGCCAGAGCTGCTAAAAATCCTGTTCTTTAGCCAGTCCCCCCCCCCCCGCGCTCCCAAGGGAGGTGTCTGTAAGCATTGCAGCTCCTTCCAGAAACACAATTTCTGTTCTAGGGAGATTAGAGGTTAAACTGCAATAATAACATGGGAGGAAGTTGAAGACGGAGTAATTTAATAATTCACATTACCATAACTAGCCTGGCTATAAATTATGTTTTAAAAATTACAGCTTCATGTGATTTTGCAAGGAAGACCAGAGAAGAGGGATTTGGGGGCAGTCGGGGGGGGGGATTAGGTCCTCCTAACCCAATTTCCTCCCTACGTTCCAGAGTTGCTTAGGCTTAATCCTGAAGCAGAAATGTCTGATGAATCTGCCACTGGCCCATTTTTTTTTCATTTCTAGGAGAGAGCCCTGGGCATCCCCGGAGCTTGCCCTACATTGTGCAAACAGATAGCAGCCACTGATAAAGCACTGCAAACATGTACGCCTTGAATTGGCTCAGCAGCACAGAGTTTTTATTTTGGGCATCTCCCCCAAACATATTCCCCAAAAGAGAATCTGGCTTCAAATATTTTTGCGTGTGGAAAAACCGCCTGGGAAGGAAGAGAGAGGCGCCTTTTGCCTCCCACAAGGTGCAGCCAGGATGCTTTCACAAGCCCCTGATTGTTTCAGGGCAAGGCCAAAGGATGGGGGGGGGCTCCCGGGAGAGAGTGGGAGGGGCAGGCGACCGAACCTGTTAACATTCTGGGGGGAACGTGCAGCTCCTCTATAGAGTCTAGACGGCTGAGCCTCAGTTGTTCCATTGTCTTAATTAACCATTTGGAGCCTCCTTGTAAGAGACAAAGCTGCCTCCACCCACCCCCCAATTCCCTTGCCCTTGCATGAAGAAAGGGGGGCACCCGAGCAACCGTCTTGATTCATCTGAGAAAATGCGCCCTGTTCCTTTTGATGCCCCCCCACCCACCCCNTGCTAGCAAGGAGTGCGGATTGCTGTCCGTTCATATCCTGGGCTCTTCCCCGTCTGTGTGGGAGGCTTTGGGGGGTGTTTGAAGGTTCTGTGGTTGGGCTGTTTACTGATGGCTCTTTGGCCGTTTCCTGATTGGGATGTTGCTTACTCGGCGGCTGGTCTGAGCTGGGTAACCTTGGAGTGGATGGGTCAGCCTGGCGCTGGAGTCTCCGTTCCCTTTGGGGTGCTGGGTGGCCTCCCTTGCAGAGTCTACAGGTGTCTGCGTGTCTCTTCATGGCCATCAAGAGTGCCAGCAGACTTCCAGAAATTCCCTGGCACTTTGGGACTTTGCGCCTGTCACGTTTTCCCAACTGAAACCTCGCTTCTTCCCAGAAGGCTCTGTCGGCAGGGGCGGCTGTGGCGGAGCAGGGCCGGCCCTTGGAGTCCTTGCGGAGGAATCGGCCTCTCCCCTCGGAACGCAGCCAGGCTGCAGAAGGGGCGCCTCTTGCTTCCGGGGTGATGGCTGCCCGGTACTTGACCGCGGCGGGAGAGGCGTAGCTGGATCCTTCCTCCTGCCGCGATTCTGAAGCCACTCGGGCTCGGCTGGGGCAGCTGCTGCGCGGAGACGAGCGGACCGTGGCTCCCGGGGCCGAGCGGCAGCTTCGCAGGGACGCTTCTGGGAGGGGAAGGGGGCCGGGATGCCGAAGCACGCGGAGCGCTGATCCCACCGCCACACTCCACACGCCCGTCCGGGCCAGGCAAGAGGAGCGAGAAGCGGGGGGGGGGGGCAGCCTTTCGGCAGAGCAAAGAGAAGCCTGTTCGGCGGCTCCCTGAGGAGGGAGTTGTGCCCGGGGGGTGTGAGTAAATTCTGATGAACTGCGGGGGGGAAGAGATTCCCCACCCTGGGCTCCTTCAGAGCAGCCGCTGCCGGTCCAAGGGGGTCCCTGCCGGTCCAGCTTGACCTTCTCAGCCCCCCCTCCCCCAGCCGCTCCTGGCAGCTGAAGACCAGACTAGACTCGGCCTCCTTGGCATGGGGGGGGGGGGCTTCTCGGCTGTCCTGGCATGAGGTCTCCCCCTGGAACAGATGCCCTCCCACGCACATGCCAGAGGGGGGCAAGGATTAGGGTTAGGGTTGGAGGCCATGCCAAGGCCTTTTCTGCCCCCAAAGAGTGTTCTGGCTGAGGCATCCCTGGGGTCTCCCTGGCAAAGCCCCTTCCTCTCTAGAACAGATGTCCCATCCGGTTCCTCCTGGCTTGTCTCCTGGTGAGCCCAGAAAGGCCAGGCCTTCCCCACAGCAGTGCCAGCACAGAGCGGATGTTGGCTCTGCTCTCTTCACCGCCACTCAGGCCACAGCAGGGCATGGGGCAGTTGGTGGGGGGGGGTGCTCCTTCTGCATCTTTTTAAACCTTTTGCCCTGAACATCATCCACCACCTTTAGCCCTTTTCCCCCTGGTATAGGAGAAGCCTTCTGGCCTCCCGGGACCTGAATTGGTGGGGGCAGACAGGGAGCCCCGCTGATCGCCCCAAACGTCCCATCGTTTATAAATCATCTCCCCATCTAGGAATTTCCATCTCTCTCTGCTGAGAGAACATTTATTCCTAAGTAGGTTGGGAGGGAATTCTTCTGTAGAAGGTTTTTGAAAAGCAGAGCTGAACATGGTGCAAGAGAGATTCTTTTTATCAAGGTTCTCTTATTCTCCCGTTTAACCTAAAGTCCATCAATAGTCCATTTCCTGAAACTGCCCTTGATTTTAAGAAGAAATGGTATCCACATTGGCCACCAGGGGTCTTCAGCCTTCCTTTCCATTCTTCTTCACTTTTGTTTGGTATTGAATCAATATAATATGTGCCGTTAGGAACAGTGCAAAAAGAAATATATTGAGGTCAAAGGTCAGGATCATCCAGCATGGACACCATCTAGCATGGCTCCATAGACCGTCCAGCAGGAGA